GAAAGAGGCCATGGGGATGTAAAAGGTAACGTTCTGCCTGCAATTTGCTCCAAGACTCTTTCACCCAAAGTCCTTCCCTCTGGCATCTCTTTGCATTCTCTCTTCTCCATTCAGCTGTTTTTGGAAAATTGCTTATTTTCTATAGAGCCCTAAGAGCATAGATAATAGAAACCCATTTATCTTTCACAGCATCTACTGGCCACCTGGAAGGCAGCAAAGTTTGCTGACCTATATGCAGCATTACTCTAAGTTCTTTCCCTGTTTTTTGTTTTTTTTTTTTACTTCATTGACCCTAAGCAAGAGAGAGAGAGAGTCTTTTTTGCTGCTGAGTCTGGGGTCTTTTGCTGCCGAGACCAAAAGCAGATCCTACAGCCTGGGGGACAAATCCTCTTCTTGGCAACTGCCCTGATTATAGTTTTTTACCACAGAAGTTTGTCTCCAGGAAGTCTCCCCCTCTACCCTGAACTCTGTTTCTCATCGCAGTTGACTGCTCTCCTGAACAAAAGGGGGCTTCTTTTTAAGACGAAAAAAATCAGCTCTGAGTAAGTGAGTAAGTGTGTGCATATATAAGCTATACAACATAGTACATGGGTTCACCACTCCCCAGATCCCTTTGGTCTAATCAACACACTAATCCCTGTAGCAGTCTCTCCCCATCCATTAAGGTCATCTGCTGTGGAAGGCAGACCATAGCACTGGGATAACAACTCAGCATGGAAAGAGCACAGCTTCCCATGAAGAAGCACCCAGGACAAGACAGCCCAGGTTTCTCTACTGATTTTCTGGTCACTGCTGATTCTGCTTCTTAATCTAGTCTTCCACAGGCTTTGCTGCCAAGAGGTTTTTTTGCCTTGCTCTTCCTCACTATGGAAGGACTGAAACTCCTAGCTTACCCTAACCCCACTTGACAAAGAAGAGCCCCTGCTCACCCTTCTTATACTGCCTGCTTCCCCACTAACAACCAATTAGCTCCAGCTGAATCCATCCACCTGGGGGGTCTCCAGCACTACCTGCAGTGGAGCTAGACACCTACTGAAACTTCCCTGGTTATACAGAGGATTTAACCCTTTAAATCTATCTAACAGAAGAGCATCATAATCCTCTGGACATCCCCCTTGCAGCAGTGCAGGGAGTGTGTAGTGCAATCCGGTGAGCTCCTCTTGTGGGGAAAGCTGCAGAGTTTTTTGCGTGTGTCAAAGATGGTGCTATTTAGCAGTGAAATAAGTGGCCTGTTTTTATCATGATCTTCCAAAAACTGGCAAGGGTCATAGGTCCAAACCACAAGCTGTAACCCCAGAATCCTCTGGTTTCTGTCTCAGTTCTCATGGGTTTCTAGTCCCTTACTAGGGTTCGTAGCATTAAGGAATAGAAGTAATTACACATATGTATCCTTATCCAACCTTATGCTGAGATATAAAATGCACCCATGAGTTTCCTTTCCTACATGAGCCCTGTGAGCTGCTCAGCTCTCCAAAGGGGGACCATGGTCCATAGCCAAGATGCACAGGTATAATGGTGCCATTTGCTAACAGAGTAGATCTAGCAGCTGTTGGAGTCCTGGCCAGTCTCTCTGGGTGATTGTGTCCAATTCTGCCCTTACGCTGTCTGAATTGTGGAGCTGTGATGCACACAAAGCAATCCTGTGTGTTGGGCTAGGGGACCAGCCCCAAGGAAATACCACCAGCCAAAGGCAATATCTCCACCAGAGCAAGCTGCACTGCATTGTCCCATGGGGCACTTCCACTGGCCTGACACTGAGTTGTTGGTGCCCAGCCACCATTGTAACAGGCATGGAGTCTGTACTTAAAAGGGCTCAGCACAGACAAGACACAGATTACATCTGCATTCAGTCACAGAGGCAAGTGCTCCATCCATCTTCTCTACATTGCTCTGCCTTCGCAGACATCCTTCTGCACAGGCATATTGTGCTCCCACAGAGCTGTCCAAGCTGCTGGTCTCTGCTTTTCCCATTTCCCCTCCTAAAATGTTGTCTGTGAGCTCCAATGTATCCCAACACACTGATAAAGCCTGTTTAAGCCTCAGCTTTCCTCCTTGGCCTAGGAGAGAAGAAACATGGCAACAGCTCCTCATAGATCATTCACAGGTTTATGTCATCTTGTTGTGTCCATGGTATGACAGGAAGCACGATCCAAGAGGTGAGAAAAGAATTTTATTGAACTAACCTTTATAGCTTGGAAAGCATGTCTTTCCCAGGGCTGGATGCACACAGAGCCATGAGCACAGAGCAAATATTTGCACTACCTAGCAGTGGCAGACAAATGGCCCCTCAGGCTTCCTACACCATCCTGCTCTTTCCAGTTTGCATAAATTTATGCTCAAAGTTCCCTCAACAAATTCCCTGCAATTGTAGGGGCAGGGCCTGGGCAGCACCCTTGTCTCCCAGGCTTTCTACCTGTGGGACATTGGGTGCTGTGTGGCTGTGGTATGAGAGATGGCTCAGAGTGGATGATCCTGGCGTCCCTTCAGACAAATATTTGCCAGTGAACAGAGCTGACTAGAGTGAATGGCAAGGGAGCCCATTTCAGTCCTCTGCTCCTATCTTTCTATTTTAACAATTCCCCTCCTTCCTTTTCTGCAGTTTATGGGAAATAAAACCTTTTTTCAACCACAAGACAGAAAAGGGAAGAGAAAAACTTGATTCCTTCAGCTTGCCTTGGGCTAGAACAGGGCAGCAATGGCCATGGATCATGGGGAACAATAGGTCCCTTGCAAGGCTCATGTATGGATGGAGTCTCTCCCTCCTCTACCTCGTGGGCATTGCTGGCCACAGGGATTCCTCACGATACAGCACAAAGGTCCATTGCACAGAACAGGTCCCTTGTTCCCATATCGCAGTACTCAGATACTATGTTAATGGATAAAGACAGAGTGAGAGAGAGAAAGAGAGAGGGAGGGGAAACAAAAAAACATCCCTCACCTGCCACTCTCCTGCTTGGAGTTTTTCCCAATGAAATCAGGCACCCTTAAACAGTAGAAACTTTTAGAGAAAAACTGGATTTGGTTGCCCCAATTAAGAACCACATTACAGAATTACCAACCAGTAGCTTCTAAAATGCACCCTGAAACGCTGGCCTGTCCCACCATGGAGTGAGCAATTTCCAGGGCCAAGATGCAGGATGTGACTTCTCCCTCCCCTGAATGTGGCTCAAGTCCATGGGTCTTGATGGTAGGCTCAGTATCAAAGCAGCTTAACATGGGAAACATGCCCAGCTCTGGACTGTGTTCCTATACCGTGGATGAAGATTTCAAGTTAAATAGGAACAATGATTTCCTTAAGAGACAACCTTTTCAGCTATCTGGATCCCAGAACTGATAGTCGTGTACTCGGACAATCCCACATGCTTACTTACAGTGGTGGCCCCTTGTCATTGCATTGCACCTATGAAGCAAGCCTGTTTTGATCCTTAGCTAACACATGTAAGCAGGAGTTTGTCACTGGTACCCTGGTGGCCCACTCTAGACTAGAGGAGCAGCTAAGAAGGGGTATGATGCTATGCAGTGAAATCCAAGGTGCACACAAAAAATAGCTCTGACTTTCTGTTTATCTAGCTCTTCTAGATTCCTCTTCCTAGCCCCAGTGTCACCCCAGCACCTTGAGAACGGAGAAGGCCTTGGGATTCATGTTATCAGGGTGAGGGGAGACTAGATCTGTCCTGAAAACTACTCACACCGAAAGCTGATCCATGCCACATGCAGCTCTGGGATCATTGCAAAGGGAGCTCCTTTGTGTGGTGGGGGTGAGGGGCCTGGACTTTGAGGGTGAGTGATCAAAGAAATACACATCACTAGAGGCTTGTGCTAACCAACACTTCCCCAAAATTGAAGAATTGAATTGTTTCTATATTTGATTTAACTATTTAGCCCAAATCTTGATAAGCAAACTCCCCTGTGCCTTGCAGCATGACTGCAGTACCTGTCTATTTTATTCATGGGGCTTCCTGTGTTCAGGATTTCTTTCTTTCCCAGTTCAGGTGTGCAATTCCTCCACCACTTACCCCAGGAGAGCACTGCTGCCCGGAAGCTGGGAGAGCGCAGGGTTGGACCCACGTCCCACTGCATTCTTGCTTGTCCCCGGTGTTTGAGGGGAAATTTGTTACATTTCTCCACTGCCCCCAGTCCAGGCTCCCATTTGTGGGTGTGGGTTAGCCACCCCCCATTCTAACCCTTTATCTTTAGGGAGTATGACATCCCAGATGGAGGAAGGAAGGTGTTAGGGCAGTTGGTGCGAACTGATGTTGGGACACTGTCCAGGGGTGCTCAGGGAAGTGTGATGCCAGAGCAGGTGGCGGAGAGGTTATTGGGCCCAGCTGGTTGTACTGGGAGGTTGGGAACGAGCTGTTATGTTGGGCCCTCTCAGGCCTCCTGCCCCCGCCCGCACAGATCCACAACCCCACTCCGCCTGTCCGCAGCCAGCCCCGCTCTGCCCACCCCAGAGACCGTCCTGGACAAACTGGGAGCTGACCAGCGCACTTGCTGCCAGTTCTGCAGGGAAGCCTGGGCCTCTTCATCCCCAGACAGGATCTCTAATTCTGCTCAGCTTTCCTCAGGTCCAGCTACTCCTGCAAGGGAAAAGACCTATTTCCCTCATGCAGGGAGAAAGGAAGGCTTTCAAAACTTTGCTCCCTCAGCCACATTGGCTCAGTCTGTCCAAACTTTTGGACAGATGGGGCTTGGTGTGGAAGGGGCCAAGAGATTTCCTTTATTCAGAGGTTTGGATCAAGAGAAAGTCTTTTCCTCACTGCAGCTAAACAGACCCTTCTGCAGGCACCCCTGGGGAACATCTCCCTGAGTGAACCAGCATGACATTCTAGCAGCTACCATGCAGAACAATCTATTGATCTATAAAATAATCTACACACATTTGGGATACGTCTATCTCTCAGTT